AAAGTACCTTAAATAGTCCATGCAGAGTCCACACCGAGCACACTGTAATAGATATATTCAAACTAGGGACTATGACAAATTGCTCGTAACATTTTATCAACTATTCTTCAACAAAGCAAAATAGTGGCTTGTCTTCATATGAGAGACATAAAAGTTTCTTTGAAAACTACACTATCTGTTTTGATCCAGTATAATAATCAAGAAGTCACCAAAATTTGCATTTAAGCTAAAGTCTATATAGGATGACTTATTTATAATTTAAAGTTGTGTCCATTCTATCCAACAAAACAAAATTTTGAAAAAGTACTGTCATATATACTTATTTATATAGGCTAAAGAGAAGTATTTGAAATCATACTTACAAGCTTTGCTTGTTGGGCATTTACAGGATCACCATATTGTAACAATGCTTGAAACTGGTTGTTTTTTGTGAAAGTAATTATTTTCAAGACTGCACCAAATTTAGAGAATATCTGTTGGAGGGGGAAAAAGTAAATGAATATTCATATATTCAATAAACATATACATAAAGCATACTGTGCTTTATTAGAAGACAAAAATGGGGTGAAATATCATCTTTTCATTTCTACTAGGTCTGCTGCTACCCTCTGATTGTTTCTTCATGTCACTTAACAGATTATTTGTTGTACATCCACTGCAACCATCAATCTCAGGTAGGAGCAAAAGCCCTGATCTTGCTTGCTTGCCACTAAATTGGGAATCATCATCATATTAGCACTGTCGTTTTCTGGCTAATGAACCATGTAAAAAAGAGAATGAAAATTACTTATAAAGACAACTTACTTGGTGAAGAACATCAAGAGTTACTGGGTAATACATGTTGTCAATAATTATTCTAAGGACTGGACTCTGAGCTGGAGTTACTGCACTCTCACTAACAGTAGTTCCACTTATGGGAGTATTTGTTGTCTGTACAGCAGTTACTGCTTGCAGGACAGCTTGAGCTCGCTATATGCAAAGAAAAAGAAAAAAATAATGCATGTGGATTAAGTTTAGAAATCAATATATTCAGTAATTGCCTCAAACCATGCTGAAAAATAAATTAATCACAATAAGCAACTCTTAACCGACTATATCTAACCAAAGAAATATCACCACTCACATTAGCGGAAGAGAAGCTAAAAGTGAATTATGCATTAAGTCTGGTTGCTCAAAAACAATAAAATAGAACTATACTGAAGGGTTAGCTACTAGTAAATAGTAAACCTAGAACATATTGTAGATTTACAAGCATGCATGTTTGATGTTTGTATTTCTTCCCATGGGCATGGGACCCACTGTTCTGCAACCTATTCTGTAAAGAAAATGGAGAGAAACAAGCAAAATACTGCCATTTTTTGTAAAATACTCTCAAAATCTATAATTTAGTTTTAAATTTTTAGTAATCTATTTTCTTGTAAGAAAATATTTATAGAAAACAAATCTTTAGGGCATAATTTTATTTGTTAAATCTGTTTTTTATTCACCTTTTCATTGGAATAGTTGATTTTTGCAATAATCTTATGAATTAATATCCCTCATTTTTTACCAGATAAACGACTTGCCCCCCCAAAAAAATCACATTAATTTTAATCTCCTTATTTAAAAAAGAATTCTAAACAAAAGCTAACATTAATGTAGGAAGTCACTGTAAAACAAAATCTAGAACAATTACAAATGAATAGAACTCTAACATTTATTACAATGTGCAAAGGTTCAAAGAAATGAAGTTCAATTCAATGAGACTTCCATTATCTCAACAAAGCAGATCAAAGTGAAGGCCTTTTTCAAAACAGCAACTAAATGACATGCCTTCAAAGTGCTTATATTTCAAAGTGCTTTGCAGATTTGATGGCTTTTCTTCTGCTTCTGGGGTTGCATCCTTCAACTTTCATTTTCATATATGGAGCACAGTAGTAGCTGAATTCTATGATGAACTCTGTGACTCAGATACTGGCACAAGTATATTTTGTTTCCTTCAACTCTCCACTTGATTAACAGATTAAAATGGGCCATGCGGAGCATTGCAGTGTGTTTCTGGGAGGGCGAAAACGTGATATAGGGAGGGCTTGGGAGCCCAAACACAGCCCCCTTTTTGGTGAAAATGGGATGTGTGGAGTGCTTCTGGGGGCCGGAGAGGGTGAAAACACAACGCATGTAGAGTCCGGGAGGCCAAAAATGCCTGTATTTAGTCTATAATACGCACCTAAATTTTCACCCACTTTTAGCGGGTGAAAAACATGGCATGTACAAGATATACAGGTGGTTTAAAAATTATTACCCTCTCCCCTACACAAGGTCATCTGTGGTTAAGCCAAATGCAATTTTGAGGATGTGTTTGGGCATCTAGGCTTATTTTGCAAGCAAGTATAGTAAATGTTTGCCATACATTTTATTATGGGCAATGACTTTTATGGTAGGGAAAGCCAGATTTTCAAACTGAGGTAAGACGAATTATGTCTTTTTCTCTTTCACCCTTCTGGACATTCCTGGTAGCGCTGAAGATTCAGCTGCAATCTCTTTGTTCTGATTAGTAAATGCTTTAAGAATATTTGAATCAGTATCAAGAAAAATAGACTAGCCTGATCTGTGTAATGGCAATTTAGTTAAAAGAAAAGAATGGCATTTTGTTAAATATATTTGGTTGGGAACTTGAAGCTGACAGACACTGCATAAATGCAATCCCACTGCTGAAATTTAGGAGATTTTAATTCTGTTATGATAAAGTTCCTTAGGAAAAGCTCAGGATCCTATGGACTCTATTACAACTATGTGTTTATCACTCTTGAGTTCAGCAGAAGCAGGATTTATTCACTAGACCTCATTTTTGTACAGGTTTAGTCTTAATTATTGAAGCCAATGATTTATTTATCATGGAAAATCATTATTTGACTGCGATTAACAGCAATAGCACTTAGACTTATATACCACTTTACAGTGCTTTACCACCCTCTCTTAAGCGGTTTACAG